TGCTAAGACCCAACCGAAAATCCGCCACAATAATTCCATCATGGCTCATAACGGGCGATTGGGAGGGTTGAATTAACTTCCGATAGCGGTACAAGTAGATACAGTGTAACGGACCCGATATAGGCAGAGAAAAACAAGGGTACCGGAAAAGCTAAGCTCTGAAGAGGTGAGGTGGTGATTGAATTGATTTGTTGAGAGGAAGGTGTGGTTGCACTGGTCTAACGAAGGAAACACGAAAGTGCCTTTTATGCAGAAAATTCTGTGCCCCAAGCTATATCTACTAGTACGCAGGTCCCAGGGGGGCAAAAAACCACCATGCGACTACCAAACTACCCTATCAAATAGCCCTAGCCCACATCAAACCTCGTAGCTCGCATGATGTTTGAGGGAATTTATGAAAAGAACAAAGATCGGTCCTAGAGACTATTGTTACATAAGATATGATCGTGTCTGAGGTACACATCATTCGACAGCCTGCAACTACCTCAGGTGAGACCCCTCATTGCATTGAAACGGCTAAACAGCTCAAACTCCATTATCTCTCCACCTTTCGGACCACTCATGATCTCGCCCATGATGTCTGAACCAGGCGGGAAATCGGTCTCAAAACAAGGCTCACCCGCACCCTTCATATTAACGAGAACTGCCTGACGAAAGTGCCAGCGCAGAAGCTGATCAACAGGCCGAAGTGGATTATCAAGGAACGACTGATCAAGATGCCGACCGGCGATGTGATAGTCAAGAGAATCAGGTGTGAAGCATACGATCTTGTAGTTATCCTATACAATTGTCAGCCATGAAGAGCTGAAGGTCCAGCTATTCATACATCAGGATTGATGGTCAAATCATAGGACTCAAAATAATCACGTATATCAGCCCTGACCAAGATCCCATTCTGTACTGAGTTGATGGATCCGTCGGACTCATTGGCGGGTGGAATGGTAATCCAACGACCGTATTTATGATCATTCCAGTACCCCTCGTGTGCCAAAGGAAATATATGAGCCGTTTCGAAGCCCCTCCAGTTGCCAAACTGAGCTAGCCGCGCTGGCCTGCCGGTTATAACGCACCTCCGGTCTCGATCACGGACAGCACCACGGAATGATGCGACACGGGTTCCGGACGGCAACGAAGTTGTTCGAATGAGCGGAGCTTCGTCGGTGATAACTACGGAACCTGTACTGGGTGAGTAGCGACTTATGACGGAAGCGCGGAAAAAACTTACCATTAGTGACAATATAATAATTTCCTGGTTGAAGCGGTTGCTGATCCCTCCCAACCAACTGTTCACTCTCGTTTTGGAGATGGAAAGTATCGCTAAACGAACAGAAAATCTCCAGCATGGAATAGAGATTGGCGTTGGTAATACCTTCTGCCACCCAGAGGCCTCCGATTACAGTACCACGATTGCGCGAAGTGTAGATGTAAGTATCACGCCATGCGGAGCGATCGAGGGACGGCATGTTTGATTGCCTATCTTAGGCTGTCAATGCCGCCATTCTAACTTGGAGATGGGGGATAAAGGGGGACATGCTCTGATGGAAAAGGGGGGAGTCTTTAGGCCACAGGTGAAGAATGGAATGTTCGCACAGTGGCAAGAGTTGAGGATAAGATGGACGGAGCCAGTAGAAAAAAGCAAACAAAAGACAGTGGTCGGCTAGGACGAGGTAATTCTAGCTTATAATATTACTGTACGAGTAGGAACCTGGACACGCGACCGTTAGCTACACGTAGCTTACGATATCCCCCAGCACAACCCATAATATCTTACACAGTTGGCTCACCTCCACTTGCATACCTGCATGATGAGAAACGAATCTACACGATGCAGTTTTGTTGTGTATAATAGTTGGTTATCCCATAGTCTGTTGAAAAAGTGGCCCACTTTTAGCGTTCCGGGGGGCAAGGGTGTTTATGCATTAGCGTGATGAAAATTGCTACAGTACGGTAAATGTTGCTGCTAGAACCTTACCCTCATATGTTGCGGTATCCAGAACCGCATTCTACCCGGAGAGCGGGCCACTTTCAGTGCATACCTAGCTCCCCCCCCACTGAGTTACCCAGATATATTAACTAGGGTTTAGGTCTCAGGTGTCAATCGACAGGTCCAAATGGTATAAATATGATGCTAGGCAAAATGGGTTACTGGGCTTCGTAGGAGTCCCGTTTTGATTAGTGCCCTTCTTGGAGTGGCCCACTACAATCTATGGGATACACCAGGAAACCGCGCAACCATCCATCAAACTCTCCACTTAAACCGGAATCAGGAAGTGGTGAGTCAGCCACCAGTTGAACACTGCATTGGTGGTTGTTGGAGACCAGTGGGGGTGGTGGGAAGCGATCGGTGAGATAGTGTTGCAGCGGGGGAGGAACTGGAGGGGTAGTGATCCCATGCACATTTTTATTTAGACTAGTTTTTTAATTCCCTGCTATGACAGTTATTTTGGTATCCCTTGAAAGGCTCTCACAAAGGGGGTGACGCGCTTGAGCAGACTGAATACTACTATACTACAGTCTGCCATCTACCCCCATCCGCCAACTAAAATAATTCCAAAAGCCCATCACTCCCTTGTCAGCATCGTGTTTATACTGACAAGTGTATAAGTAAAGGAAATGCAATACTCTCAGGGGTGTTGGAGCGGCCTTTGACGTCTTGACATGGGGGATATAACTCCTAGTTCACTTGGTATCATCCCAACTGTAGATTAGGCCGTGCTACCCCACCTCGGCTCTTATGCTAATACCATTCGACCATTCGCCTATTAGCTGAGGAAGGGTAGGATATTCAGGATTCTTGGGTGCTCATTTTATATACAGATACAGGCTCACCTTGAACTATAGCCAGGAGCGCGCAGTTGTGCCAGAGTATTGTGGGGTCGAGCATTCGCATGGGGGATTGATGGTGGTAGTAGTTTTGTGGTATTTAGGGATAACCGTGCCAAGGTTCCTGTTGAAATTGTAACATGCACAATTTCACAGCACGTCTTGAGGGTGCCCAAGGTTGCGGCAGAGCCACAACGTTGGGACGGTTATGAGGTGGAGAAGGTGAGTTAGGCGATTACGAGCGCAGAATACAACTGGAATAGCTAAGGTTGCTGCCTAAGCATATGCCATCGAGTACGATTGGCCGTTCTCTATAGAGATCCACAAAACAGAGGATCTTTAAATTTCGCTAACCTCAAAAGCGGCGAAGCTGCAGGGTACAGTACAATACAAGCACTCCACAAGTACGAGTACTCGAGCACTAGTAGCGCACCTGCTGAGTCAATTTGTCACGGGGGTTTAAATAAATACCCGTGCGGACCCAAAAGGAGTACCCTTTCATGTGTGATCCTGTCTCCATGACGCTGTTGCCCACCACTGGCGAACTTAAACGTGAACTTAAGCCAGCTGCCCAGAGCCCTGGTACAAGTACCTAGAGCCCTGCTGCTTAGCATCCGCTTGCCTAGCGCCCACCTGCCTAGCGCCCACCTGCGAAGCTCTTTGCTGCCTCACCCCTGGCTGCCCCCTGCAGGAAAATAATAGGGGGCAGCCTACTGTACAAGCCAGAGGTGTGAATGATCCACCTAGGGGGGTTGAATAGTGACAATGAGCCCTACCACCCGCGGCTACCACAACACGTCATGTCCAGCATCTCCGACAAGAGAGACCAGAATCCCGCGGACCATCGTAAATGAGGTGATATGTCTTAACCTTCCCCGGGTACACGAAATTTGGGTGGAGAATTGCGCGACGTTTGGGTTCACCTTTGTACAGTGGCGCCGTGGCGGAGTGAATGAACCCGCCCTTGGCGTAGGTTACCGTGCATGAACCATTCAGAAGCAAGACAGTGTTGCTACTGTAGAGGTGTTCCGGGAAACAGGGAGAGGGATCGCTACAAGTACATGTAGCAGACCGCAATCGGGGTCCCCGGTACAGTTACCCGGTTGAGTGAATACTGCAGTTCAAAATGACGAAACCCTGAACTTCCCGGTAACTTGTGGCCAAGGTGTGTTATGATCCACCTCACGGGGCTGCAGTGTGGCAATGAACATTACTCGTACAATGGGTGAGAACCACAAGGCGTCGTTTCCCGCACCTCTGACCACAGGTGACTAGACTCCCTCGGTGCATCGTAGCTTAGATGAGGCGGAGTAACTTAACTTTCCTCGGTTACATGAACCCTGCATGGAGAATTGCGCGACATCTGAATTCACCGTTGTACTGTGGCGCGGTGGTGGTGTGAATGAGCCCCCCCCGTCTTCAAAGGTCCCCTTCATTCCCTCACCCCACAATACTTGTAACACAACAAAAACTCCCGGTATACAAAGAATATCGATCAGGATTACGTATTCATTTGATTTTTAAATATTGTTAGTAGTGGTTTTGGATGTCACGTGCGAAAGAAGTAGGCCCCGTTGAATCGCGCGGTTCTGTTAATTACGCTAACGGAAAATGCCTTGAATGAACCTCCCGCGCGGAACACAGTTTTATCAGGGGTGTTCAACGAAACACCGCAAGAGATCACTGCAGTCGCGGATCGCAATCGAGCTTCCCGGTGCTCCGATTGAGGCAACACTACAATTCGAAATGACAGAACTCTGAACTTCCCAGTCACTAGTGGTCAGGTGTGAATGATCCACCTCCCGGTAAACGATTCGCCATAGCTGAAGGTAGCTCTCGGAAGGTTGTATCGGGTGCTTTCACGCTGGCAGAGGTAGCATTACATGTCGTCTCCCTCTCTTTGTCTCTGGCATGGGAGGGTCGCTGGCGCTGGATCCTTGCTGGGGCTGTTTTCCGTGGGATTCGGTATTGCGCTCGTGGGACCAATGGCCCCCATTATTCCTATAGAGGAAGACACTATCCTAGCAGAAATGACAGTGGATGACTGCGCTATGGCGGAGGTGGGTGTGGAATGCGTCGTAGAGGGCATATGCATGACTTCGCAAGTCAGCAGAAAACGAAGGCTCAACTTCCAACACCAATACCGGCCTGGAAATCGCCCATAGGTTTTGATACCTTTAGATCCTGATCTCCTGCACTGGTGCTTCATTGACCGCGTACACCTTCTTAGGCATCGCCTTCTCCACCGCTAGCGTCATAGCTGTGACCCGTGCTTGCTCCTTTTTTATATTCACAGCAACCCCCTCCGGCGCCACTTTCTCAATGATATCCTCCTCAGCCCAGCCAACATTGATCTTGCCTGGGTGTTTAGACTCTTCCATCATACTCGTCTCATGCCCCCACAACAATCTAACCTGACAATAAGGCTCGTTCGCGTACTGGGTCAAAAGCTCCACCTTTAAATGCCAGTACTTCACCCACACGAGGTACCCCTCCCGATCAGGAAGGCCTGCGCCTGCCGGGAAGTTCTTGCTTCAAAGGTACTAACATCCTTCCAGCCATTCCGTTTGATTGGATACCGATCTCGGTCAAAAATCATTAAACTACGAAACATGGATGAGAAAATCCAAAATTCGCCAGGACGACTGTATCAACGAGTTTGTCATCGCAGAGCTCCATGAAGAACTTCTTCTCAGCACCGCATTTATTAAGCAGGCAGCTATCCTTATTCTCCACAAATATCGAAGCAGCCCCTGATTCCGTTTCACGGCTCTAAATAACATCCATTCTACATTCCATCTTGTTTAAGCGAGACAACAGCCATGATCTATCAAAAGGATTTCAATCCCTAATGTGGGTTAACATAGAACCTCAGAGTGCGCCCGATTGCTGAGAATTAATGAACAAACATCAGTGCCGAATCCCGTGGTTACATAAAACACCTCAGCTCCCTAGTTACACATCACCCGGCCGCCTACTCTTGGCTCAGGAGGCGACCATTGCATTGAAACGGCTAAATAGCTCAAACTCCATTCTCTCACCAGCTTTTGGGCCTCTCATAATCTCGCCCACCATGTCTGAGCCAGCCGGGAAGTCATCTTCAAAAGTAGGCTCTCCAACACCCTTCATATTAACCAGGACTGCCTGGCGAAAGTGCCAGCGTAGGAGGTCATCAGGCGGCCGGAGTGGGTTATCTGTAAACGTCTGGTCAAGGTGACGACCGGCGATGTGATAGTCAGCCAGATCAGATGTGAAGCACACGATCTTGTGATTATCCTATACAATTATTAGCCACGAAGCCTTGAATATCCAACCCTACATACATCAGGGTTAATTGCCAAATCATAGGAAGCAAAGAACAGGTGCATCTCACACGTGAGCATGATCCCATTCTGGACCGAGTTGATGGATCCGTGGGACTCATTGGCGGGGGGAACGGTGATCAAACGACTGAGGTTACAATCATTCCACTGCCTCTCGTATGCCAAAGGAAATATATGAGTAGCTTCGAACCCCCTCCACCTGCCGGCATGAGCTAGGATCGCCTGTTTGCCGGTTAAAACGCATTGCTTATCTCGCTGGAACACAGCATCGCGGAACGATGTAACACGAGTCTCGGAGGGCAACGAAACCGCACAAATTAGTGGGACTTCATCGGTGACACTGACGGATCCTATTCGCAATGAGTAGCGGCCAATGATGGGAGCAAAGAAGAAACCTACCATTAGTGACAACAAAGTAATTGCCTGGTCGAAGCTGTTGCCCATCCTTCCCAACCAACTGTTTGCGGTCGTCATATAGATGGAAAGTATCGGTAAAGGAACTGATAATCTCCAACATGGAATAGAGATTGGCGTTGGTAATACCTTCAGAGGCCCAGAGGCCTCCGAGCATAGTATCACGACTGTCGGAAGCGTAGATGTAGGTATCACGCCATGCTAAGCGATCAGTGGGCGGTGCGTCCGGCAGACTATCTTCATCTGTCACAGACCTGCTTTGATGGAAAGGGAGGAAAGTTTGTGCTAGGGTAGAAGGAATGGTTGCGATGGAGAGTTATGGGATAGGTTGCAAGGTGGTGACAAAAAAAACCGGATCATACAAACATCAACTGGCGACCGGGTAATCTGTGATTATATAAGCATAAAAACCGTGGTGAACAGTTTAGGCCTCCACCCTTAACCTCGACTTATAGTGCGCGAAGCCTGAGAGGGTGAGCGTGTCAACCTCCGGCCCTCCTTTTCAAAAATAAAATTTTTGCTAGACCTTTCCGGATAGAGGATGTGTCGTCACCAGCACTTTACCAAAAATGGTCAAGTCATTTGTCATAAGATAGTGGATTAATAATGAAGAAAGAGTATTTCAGTAGGACGTGAGTTGGGCTCGCAAGACATTAAATGTATTAGAGACTTTGTGAAAGGATACTGGATGTGAGTCAAACGGGGTTCCAGGCGAACAGGATCGATCGATTGAATTTGACTCTGGATGCCAAATGGCAAAGTCTCTATTGTCAGTCAGTCCAAGTCTTGGTCAATGATCCTCCTCCTATAACATTTTTATCATCGTGCAAAGTCAGGTATTTCTTTCAAGTTATTAAAGTGAGGCAATTAGTTATACAAGCTTTAATATTAACATATAGTATAGGAGATCTAAATACCCAACCAAAACCAAATGGCTAATTCCATGAATAAGAGGACCGGAGGCCCAATATCTCGTCAGGCCAGTTGGAAATGCAAGAAAGTCGCATTAGACCGAGAAATGCTTATGACAAAAAAGCGAATTGATCCCGGTGGCCAACTACACCAATACCACATAACTGAAGAACTTCCTCCCCCGCCAAAAGCTGCAAATGGTGGAATAGCATCTATTCTCAGCTTAAAACCCAAACTCGAAGTTCCCTTAACTGTTTCCTCCGGTATTGGTTCCAATTCTGGGGCTGGTTTTGGCCCGGGAGAGTGTTTCGGGCAGGAAGAT